TTCAATTTTATTTCCTTTTTCTTTTATGGTGTTTCTGTCTGTCCCTTTTCCCTCTATTATTCTACAATTTCTCAGTTTTTTCTTCCGTTATTTCTTCTAAAACTAGAAAAAATTTCGGTATTTTTCTTGGAAACTGCCGGCGAACGAAAATGGCGTCTGGATTCCGTCCAGCAACAATTGACGTTTGTATTGTCTATTCGGTAACAGTCGCCGCTAAAGCTGCAATCTAATTGTTGTCGTCGATGACGTCACACTATTTATAAGGTCTTCTGTCTCATAAATTTCGTGAAATTTCGTAAAAAATTTACTCGAATATCAAGGAAAGTATTGAAAATAAAATTTTTAGGATTTAGGATAGACTTTATAGTTTATCGAGTTTAAGCCCATATCTTATTTTATTAATATTAGGCGAATCATTGCAGGATGTGGTGAGAAATGAGCTATGGTATATGTTATTCGCAATTGATATTGTGTTAATGAGATAGAAAGTAATTAAAGTTGAGCCAGTAAAAGTTAGCAACTGATTTACAGAGAGGGGATTAAAAAGTCGATAGAAGATTTAGTTTATGAAATTCAGATTTGGGCTGTTAGAGAGAGAAAAGAGAAAAAATTAGATGAGTTTAAAACAGAAATTTCAACTATTCATGTTCAAATTTACAGCAGAAAATGGGTTAGAGGTTGACAAATAGAATAAATGTACGATGGCAAAAACTCAAACGGTATTATTAGATATTGACAGTGAATGCGATGATGTGGAGTCGTAAAAGACACATTATATGGTATTTTAGCAGTGCCTTCCCTTGTATTTTGCACAAAAGTTTTTTTTAATAAAACCGGCATTCTTAGTAAATTTTTTATTTAAGAGATAATAAAATCGTTTAACATAATATTATTTAACTGAAAATTTTTTACATTTATAAAGAACAGCATTGTTTTATTGTTAAATCAGAGCAATTAATGAATCTACTAAAAATTATTTCAGTATAAAAAATTTACATAATAATTATAATATTAATATTAATAGAGAATTTTGAAATTTTGTTAAGTAAATTGATATACAGTCGACCCCCTATAACGCGGGTTCATATAATGCGGATTCGTATATCGCGGCGAAAAAATTGCGACAGTAATCGTATAAAGACGCTAAAAGAGACTCGTAAAATACGGTAAAACGTTATCGCCGACTCGTGTCGCGACAGGATTGGTCGAATCTGGACCAATAGTGGACGAGCAGCCAAACTACTTACATGCTATGGAGAGTTTAGGCGGGTAAGTTGAATTTACTATCGTCTGTACAGTATATAAATTAGGTACTCTAAGTCTAATACAGTACAGTAGATCCCCCTATAAAACTGTTTCCTATAGTTACGATTCCTATAAGACGGCGAAAAAATTGTGGCGGTATCCGTACACAACGGTAAAATAACTCCTATAATTACGTAAAACGTTATCGGGCAGCCGAACTACTTTCCCGCCGTCCGTAGCGCCACGCTACGGACGTTTAGGCGGATAAATTGAGTTTAGTATCGTCTGTTCATATAATTATATATAAATTAGGTACTGTACATATAATTATATATTAATTATATATAAATTAGGTACTGTATATATAATTATATATTAACTTAATTTATTGTAACTTTATTATAATTAAATATATATTTTTCGCCGTCTAGCGTCACGCTACGGCGAGTTAGGCGACCTATCGTCTGTCCAGTACTGTAATTTTATACATTTCTTGTGAAAGAAACATTTCTTATTTAACGGCCATAAAAATTATTTATATTAAGGATGTCTCCAAAGGTCAACGAAGTTTTCGCAGAAAAATAATATCAGAAATCGCGGCCGCCGTTTGATGCGCTGTTCCGCGACAAAACAAGCTTTAGCAACGGGCGTAGTCGAACGGTGCACACTCGGTAAGTAATCCTATAATTTTTTGTTTATAACGTAGTTTAAACGGATTATTTCCAAAAAAATATACGTACAGTATTTTGGAAATGTTGAGTCGAATTAGTCTAGAATCAATTAATTTTATGGAAGAAAACCTTTCAAACAGCCGTAGTCCGTAAACTTCACACGTGCCGGGCTGTGATCGGCTCATGTATTTAAGGATTCCTACAATGCGAAATTCTTATAAAGTGGAACGTATCTACCGCGTTATAGGGGGATCGACTGTATATTTTTTAATATTTGAAAATAAAGTACCTGCTGTTTCAATTTATTAAATAATAATTTTCATTTAGGATATTAATTTATATTACTCGTAATTATCAAGGAATCCAACGAAGAACAAGGTCAAGAAATACTTTTCCTTAGATTTGATTCTTAATCATTTTGGGGAAAAATTATGTTCTCAGAAATAAATTTATTTCATATTGGGAAAACGTTATATTTTTAAAAACGGGAAATCATTTACGATTTCAAAAACTTAATATCATGTTATGTTTATAAAAATTAGGTTATCAGATATAAGATGATCTCATATTAGTTAATAGTTAATTTCTATTAAAACAGTTAATAAAATTATTCGGGTGCAATTTGAAAAAAATTGTAAACCTGTAAATTCCCACTGTCTTCCGTCTGTCTTTCCTTAATCTTGAGATGGGAATTAGATAAAAGACCAGATCAAATATGGAAAGACTAGGGCAGGAGTTTCCGATTAACTATATACGAACTTCTGATGCAAACCGAAAGCCATGTTATTTCAATTCAAAAATTTTTCCCTAAAAGGTGTTAGATAGATGAACATTCTGTTCTATTGTTACAGGAAAAGTATGATGTACAGGGGCAAGCCACTAAGCCACTGCTAATTTAAGATGGAAAGCAGATATTTTAAAATTAAATAAATTAAAAACATGTTAAAAAATTACAGCCCGGCATTGTGACGATGTCACAATAAATCGTTTTCTCTTAAAGTTTTATCTCCTAAACTGTTATCTGTGGATTTAGTATAATATAATTTAATCGTTCACCATGTAAAAATAATACTTTAAGTCAGTTTAAATGGTAATAACTTACAAAAACACGTTAATCTGCTATTCAGAACAACATTTTACCTTGAAATTTAAAGTTATTTTTATGATGTAGAATATTTAAATATCTCTACAACGTTTAATTATAACGAAAAAAGTCCATACATTCCCATAAGTTATTTATTTATATCAAATATAAAAACCTTAAATATTGTAAAATATTTTTTTATAGAAATATAATATTTTAAGGATATTAAATAAAAATTAATAGATAAAAGATAAAAGGAAGTGAAAGCTAGAGGAGGCCTCTTAATAAGTACCTTCATGATTAAAAAAGGGTAGTAACTAGTATAATTAGAAAAAGTTGACTTTTACACCACGCTGTGTTTTCCCGTACGTCGTGTTACATCATTATTAAAAGCAAATTATTCAATAAACATAATTACTTGAAGTAAAATTCTCAGATGGTCTATTATCTAGACCTATACAAAACTCTTTCATTCATACATAAATATAAACTGAAGCATTATGCAGATGAAATAATAAATTACTTTTTAAATAAGGAAATGTGGTTTTTTTATAAATAAAAAAATGAGTTAGTAGAAAATAAATATAAGTTATACATAATTATAATATTAAAATTACGTTATTAAATTCTATAAACAGTAAGCTAAGTAAGTTTATATAATGTTTAACATTATAAGCGGTAAAAATTCCCAATAAGAAATATAATACAATTGTATATTTCCGTATGTATCGAATTTATATTCCATATGTTGTAAGATTAACGATATATTTGATCCTGAATCTTAAACTATTTAAAAGTCAATTTAAAAAAAAGGGGGGAAATAAACGATTTTGATAGCTAGAAACAGAATACTGTAATAATAACATTTTTTCTAATAATTGTAGACGTTGTTTTAAGAAAGAAATTTAAATAATAATCTCAAACTATTTACACATTAATTCATACAATAAAACCAATTTTAAGATAAACAATTTGGGTAAATCCTGGACTTCTGGAAAGCAATAAAAACAAGAATAAAAATACTGTATTCTCTTATGATAATATGTATCATTGCTCGTATAGAAATCAATTTTATGAAACGTGGACTAATAAATAAAATATTGATGAATGTTTTATTTTAAGTATAAACTGTCACGAATTTATTATCTTTATTAAAATCTAAACAAATTAGTAAAACATTGTAAAAATTCTGATTGTTGTTAACTATAAACTATCGAGATCGAAATAATTCTACGAGCTATCATATTCAAGTTCATCAATACGAGTGGTAAAATAAGATCCGGATCAATTTCAAAGATAAGTCCTACTTCTTCTCTGAAATCTATAAAAGATATATAGATAATCAGACTTTTCATCATAAGAAAACAATTTAATTTATATAATTTTCATATCTTTTGCATGTAAGATAAAATTTTAGTGGCCCTTCTGTGGTGGAGAATTGAACCAAATAGCTCCGATGACACTTATATTTTTTAAACACGGTTTAGTCCTGTTAAATGTAGAGTAATTTCAGTCTGAAAACGGTCACTAATCTTTGTATTATATTTAGAAGATGTTTTTATTGTAAAAAGTTATCATTTGTACAGTAATGCCAGTAAATTGTCATTTCCTCCATTCATATTTTTGATAAAACCATGACTCATCTTACAATAATCTAGGCTATCGTAACTGCGCAAACTTTTACACGACAACACGATAAATCAACTGATTCATAAATCATAATTTTCACCATTTTATAAATCTCGCGCATCATCATAAAAAAACTTTTAAATTGAAACAATTTAAAAAAATACGCTCGACATATTTAAAATAATTTAATAGATATAAAATTATTTAATATTTTAAATTAAAAAAAACGCTTAATAACACTTTGTCGCCTTTTAAAATTAATTAAGAAAAAAAAAACTTTTCGAAAAGAACTAAAAATAAATTCGCGGAAAAAATGAAAAACCTCACATGTCGTGACGTCACGTTTCTCAACCGTTATCGCCATCTAGCGAACGTAAATAATACACCCCATTAAAAAAAATTCTTAAGTAAATATTAATTTAATTATCGTTAATCTTTATTACAATATAGTTTTAAAAATATATTAAGAAGTACTTAAGATAAGAGAGATAATTTTACTAGTAAAAAAAATATCAGATAAAGAAATTGAGGTGTAGGTTAGGTGGACGGAAGTGATGTAGTCTGAGTGAAGGGTTGGTCTTGGAAAGAAAATGGCTAAGACGTATGATTATTTGTTTAAATTGTTATTAATCGGCGATTCGGGAGTTGGAAAAACTTGTATATTATTCAGATTCTCCGAGGATGCTTTCAATGCCACGTTTATATCCACTATAGGTAAATAAATAACTTTTTTTTCCCCTATAAACCTAACTCTGTAAGGCTACAGACTGATAAACAATTTAAATACCGAAGAAGCAATTATAAGTATTGACTTTTTATTAAACTTTTATAAATTTTACCATTGTAAAGTATTTATTCGGGTAAATAAGGTAGAGTTTTGTTATGTAAATGGAAAAATGAAATTAATTTCAGTGAATTATGTGTGGGAACATTTGAAAAATGTTCCCACAAAAATCAATATAATGTTGCCCTTCGTTTTATTATAGGAAATTTTGTTTTATGTGGTTTAATTTGAAACATATTCTTTTATTGGAATGTTTTATCTATTTAAAATTTTTAAAATCAATTAATGTTCTTTCACATTATAATAATTTATTAATAATAGAATTAAGGGTTTTGTAACAGGATATATATGCATTGTCAATTGATGTTTTTTTAATGTATTGATAAACAAATTTAAAATAAAAGCTGTAGTAAAAAGTATTTTTAATTTAATTGATATTTCATTTATCAATTATGAAATTTTTAACGACATTGTGAAATTTTGAATTTTATTCAGTTAAAGTGATTAAGTTTAAAAAGTAGAAAGTTAATTGTTTTTGTAGTGTTTAGTATTTTAAAAAGTTGCTTATTCTGAAACTGTGTCATCTTTTATTTGTTTTTTTCTGTCACAACTAGGTGCATAGACAGGCACTGGGCATTTTTGACATCAATAAAGATGAATCTTTCCTGAATAAAGATTTGTCAAAAATGCCTAGTGTCTGTCTATGCATCCAGTTGTGACAGAAAAAACATTTTAAAAAGTATTAAATGGCATGATGATTTTGTTACTTTGTAATTATAATTATAATAGAACAGAAATTAGTTTTTAATGTAGCAAAAATTATTACAATAACCAGGTATAATAAATTATTTTAAAAATTGATTGAAAATTGTTCATAAAAACTAACATTCCTAAAATATCTTGTAAAAAGATTTTTGAATTTTATAATTTTTTGTTTACTGAGAATTAAGCAATGAATACTTTGAAATAAATCTGTTTGTTTCTATTAAAAACAGTCATAAGCTTGTTAAATGTGGAATGTTTCCTGTTTTTCTTTGGTTTATTCCAAAAACTTCAATATATCAATTAGTGTTCTATATTAAGTGGTGTTCTATATATTTAAATATTAAAATTGATATTAGATTTGAACAATAAATAAAATTATGTATATATTAATCATTAAATCTGAATGATGTTCTAATTCCTTTGTTTCTGATCAATAAACAAATTAATGCTGAATTTTTATTAACAATTGTTATACTCTATACTTAATGGTGCAATAACAATTTCATTGTTTTGTTATGCATGAAAGAAATTAACCATTTCCTAAAAGTTTGTTGTGTTTGCTTTTCAGCTGTAACCTTCATTGTGACTGTTGTTCTCATATTTTTGGTTGAATGACAGTTGAATAATAAAACATACTATTAAGTTTAACCTTTAATGACAAAATGATTCTCAGATGCTTTAATTTGGATAACTATAAAGACCAAATTTTAATTTTTGACCAAACTATTATAGAAATTCTAATCATCTGTTAATAGAGCTTGAGTTATTTTTTCCCAATTCATTATATTACCTATGTTGTTTTTATATTTGAAAAATTTGATTGTTTTCTTTGACAAGTTATTGAACTTAATTAGTAAAATCAGTGCTCTATTTCTAAAACAATTACTGCCATTATGCATATATGGCAACCTAAAAATAAAGTTATGTTTTATGAAAAATGTATCGGTAACCATAAAACAGTATTTAATATTAATAACTTTTTTTTATAAATTGCACATTTATATTGTAGCATTTATAGTACAGAGTGATTTCATATAGACTCAAACCCAAATTTATTATTATAAATCTTAAATGAATGGATTTTGAAGGAAACATACCTTCCATTTATGTTGAACACATCACCACAAATATTGGAAATGGTTGCCACCTTCTGTCAAGCTATATGCTACTGCATGCTGTTGATAACATGTCAGTTTTTCATCATAAATGTTTTAGATCTCACTCCTTGTAATCCTCTAATACAACAATCGTGTGGTTTATGATACACTCATTCCTACATCCCACAAAAAGAAGTCTGGGCTGGTAAGATTTGTTGATTTCATCTATTTCTGTTCACATAATATGTTACTTAAATTCATTGAAACTATTCTATAAAGCTATTTTTTATGCCATTCATTCTCCATTCAAAGTTATGACCTTAACCAGTAGTATCCATTCAAATTTATTTATGACCCTTATCAATGCAGAATAAATATTTCTAAAAAATTACCAGTTCAGAAAATTATTTACAAATAAATTGTGATACCATATGCATGACTCAGTCCCTTTTTCTTTAGAAAAGCACTGAACACTGCTGCACATGTATGGATTTTCACAGAATTTTTTTTTGTCACCAAATATGCAAGGTTTGACAAAAAGTTCACAGGGTCACATAGGATGTTAGAATTAACATCAGAATCTTTGCTATGAGAAGAAAAACTGTCAACTTCCTCTGTAAACTGCCAGTTTTGAAGAAATTTTTTCCTTAGTATTCAAATAACAGCTGATTAATAACTGCATGATTTTTATACTTATCGGTTTAAAATGTATGACAAAGCACAAAGAACCTGCATTAAATTTTGTTAGAAACTAGGAAAAAGCAGTATAGAAACATTTCAAATGCTGAAACAGCTTTTGGATATTATATCATGTCTCATCTGAAGGTATGTAAAGGTATATGAAGGTCTCATATGAAGGTATAGGATATTTAAAATGGCCAAATATTGAAGATGATCCAAGGCCAGGAAGACCTTCAACATGTACTACAGACAAAATAAAGAAGACATTATTGCCAGTACTCTGTAATATCCTAATTCATACAACAATGATCAGTGTGAATGAAATGAAATATTCAAATCTTCCACTTGTTCTTATATACCAGGGGTGGCGAACCTATGGCATGTGTGCCCAAAGTGGCATGTAAGGAGAAATCATTTGGCACGTAATGTATCATATGATTTCTGTCTTTTTCAATCATCTTTTTAGTTTATCACCTGATCATCCTTTTTTCAATCAGCTTTTTTACATTTATTCTAATTAAAGCGTATTCGTTTAATTTCTTTAAATATCGTTATTCGAAGTCTGAAACATTGGCATGCATAAACATATTTAAAGCTAAGTATGCTTACAATATGGCACTCGAACAGAAAAAGGTTCACCATCCCTGTTTTATACAACTTCTAGTCAGGTAACCTAATTGACCCAAAAACTTAGAAAAAGCCAAAAAAATAATTTTAGCTATTTTAAAAGTTCCTAGAAATGTTAACCTATAAAAAAAATTTTTTAGAACAGCTTCTTATGAAATTAAACAATTAAACATGAATTATAAAATAGCATATTTAATATAATAGTATATTTACAAATTAAAAATGATTCTATTCAGATGATAAATCCCAACCATCATCATCATCTGAGGGATCATTTGCTTCTTCAAACTCTAACTTCATATGCAGCTACTTTATTTATTTGCTGAAGCTTGCTAGTTCTTTCTTCATTTTTGTTAGAAAGTAACATGTCTAAAATTTCTTTAGTAAATGGTTTTGTTCATTTCTTTGGCTTAGGTCTCGTGCTTGTTACAAAATTATCTGAAGTAAGAAGCAACTGATTAATTTTTTCTACATTGCAACTTTCTTGAGAGAATTTTATAGCAAAACTTTACCAATATCAACAGAAGTATTTGTTTTTGCCTCTGACACTTGTGATAGTCAACAGGGCATGTTTCATAACAGTTGGATATAATCTTCTGTACTTTGGGAGAAATAGTGTATCATGAATGCACTTCCACATACATTTTTGTTATTTCATTGTGTATGTTGAAAATTTATTAATCTCTGTTGCCACTTGAAATAGCCTCTAGAATGACCTTAAATTGCAAATCAATACCATAATTTCTGAAAATATTTCAATGCTTGCAAGGAATCTTCTATTTGTATTGACATTAGAATTTTCATAGCCGAGGTTAGGAACATCAGTTATTAGTCCTAATTCATTTTTCAAACAATTCCAAATAAACAATTTATATTATGCTAAAACAATGAATGTTCACAGATAATAGGCATGTTTATCTTGAGATCAAGCAGAACTAAAATATTTGACATTGAGTTAAGTCCAGAATAGAGTAAACCATTTTTTGCTGATGTTGCATTTCTGCAATGGTAAAATGAAAGCTGTTTTGGAGAAAAATTATTCTTGGAAATTTATTAAAATTGAACTCTAACAAGAGTATATGATTCTCAAGATAAGTTTTAATTATTTTTTATGGCTGACTGAATATTTAAAAGTTGCAAATTAAATTATTGAATATGAGATATGGTATTCTGACGTCACTAATTCTGTTATGATGTTATGATTATTTTATTATATACAGTTATAGTTTGAATTATATACAGGATGTTTGAATGTTTGTTTTGAGAAGTTATTTTCTACCAGTTTATTATCCCATGGGAAGAATATTTTGATGTAAGTACTAACATATACAAGAGAGGAGTATTTTTTGTATTTGCAATGGTGATTCAATTGTCCCAATAGGGATTTAAATTTGCCTCAACAATCACTCTCACAACAAGAACTTGAAGAAAAACATACTTTTTGCTGATAAGTAGCTAAATCAATAAGCAAAGATGTGTTGTTAGGCTTTATGTAGAACTGCTGAATAAAAAGTTTCAAGAATTTTGAATGTTTTGTCATAATCTTAGTATAATTTATACAGAGGACAACCTGTACCAAAGATGTTTATATAGGGTAAACCCATATGCTTTCAGATATAAAGCATGGATTTTGGTCCCTAAGAGATGATTTCATTGTTGCTTTTGATATTTACACCGGAAATCAGCTGCTTAACAGGATAGAAAAAAAAAACCTTGGTTTAGGAAGTATGACCCTGGCTCTGGATTGCAATTTAGTCTATTTTTACATCTTCATCTAATACCTGATGGTGCACCTAATAATTTTTTTACCATTAGGACAGTTTGAAGAAACAGGGTTCAGGATTGTTCTCTGAAACAATGTAAAACAATGACAAAAAAGAATGTAGATTTTATGACTACAGATATGATACATCAGGAGAAGTTACTTTTATGAGATAGAATGACATCAACTTGTCATAAATTTGTGATTTATGTAACTCAAATGACCTACAATAAATGATTAAAATAGCAACTAACAGTTTGATTAAAAAGTTACACTTCTAAATTTGAAAGTATTTGTAGTAAAAATTTATTATACAGTAATTTTTACAAATTAAAGTAACTAATGTAAAAATTTTCTATTTAGGTATAGATTTCAAAATTAGGACCATTGATTTAGATGGGAAAAAGATCAAACTTCAAATATGGTAAGTTGTATATTTTACAGTCTTTTGAAAATAAAGAATTGTAATCTATCTTTTTCTGTTTGAAGAAAATTTCTTAAATGTTTTTTTGATTTATTCTTTCGAAATTTTCAAATTATCAGTAATGGTTGTGAATTCTTCCTGTTTGATTTTTAAGATTTGAGGAGGTTTTTTTTTTGTTCTTGAAGATGATTAACAATGAAACTTTTTTTATGAATTAAAATTAAGTTTTCTATTTCATTAATTTTTGATAAAGTTTTATAAAATCAGGATAATACAAAAAAAATAATTGTAAAAGTAAAAACATATTTAACAGAAAAATACTTTAATTTTGTTCATATTTGAGAAAATAACTTTCTAGAAAACATACATGATTGATTTTATCTGACCAGCAATATTCTTAATCTTGTGTGAAGTCTTGACTAAAATTTGTTTTAAAGGAAAAAATTATTTTATATGAAAAAATGTTTTTAGTTGGTAAAACATCACAAGAAAGGTGGTTTTGTGAGAGAGTAGAATGGGAATTTGACCTTTTTTCCAACACTCATAAAAACTGCAAAATAAAATGTTTAGTGAAACCAAATGTAATATGAATACAACTTGCAATATTTATAAGTGGGGTAAAAATGCTTAACTCTGAATTGTGGGTGGAATTGCTGAGCAGAGTGAAGATCAAATGACATGAACAAGACTGCATTAAGTTGACTTTGTGCCTGATTCTAATGTGTACTCAATTTTTGAGAACAAAAAAGTCCAAAAGATCTTGTTATAATCATGAAGCATGGTCTAAAGTTTTAAATTTTGTGAAAAATTTGAGATGGAATTAAAGAATTTAATGCTAGAAAAATGTTCAAAATGTACTCCTACCTGACAGAATAGCAAATTGTGAAAGATTTATAACAGTTTGATTGAAACCATATTTTTAATTTAAAAGCAAGCAAATTGTTAGCTTTCTGGTTGTGGAAAATAAGAGAAATTGATCCATAATCATTATGGTAACTGTTTTCTTACAAATAATTATGTAAATGATGTCTTAAATTAATCTGCTCTTCATATTGATTGTAATCAACCATTGAATAAAGTTTAAAATAACTTCTTGTTTTCATGTTTAAAATAAGATGGAGCATTTATCAATGAAGAATTTTAAAGGGTGAAATTCCATTTCTTCTTGGAATGTTAAGAACATCTTATCTCCTCTCTCCATTTCTATCTAAGCATGTTATCTCCTTTTTTCTTAAAAAAGAGATAAGATGCTTAGATTTCTGTCTGAATTTTGTATTGAAGATAATATGCTTAGTTTCATTTGATATTTAGGTTGATTTAGCTAAGTGTGTACAAACTTTTGGGCGGTGTAGGTTGCACAAAGATAGATCAGAATCATATAGCAATGCAGGGTCAGAAATGCCATTTTTATGCATTAGATGGCGTTATTCTGTTGTTTTAAGATACCACCTTTTAAGATACCATTCATTGGCCTACAAGATTGCCAGACTTAACATCTCTTGATTACTTCTTTTGGGAGTTACATCAAAGGAATAGATATGACATCTATGTTGAAAGTTGTGATGATTTTGTAGCATGCATCTCTGTAGCTACTTCAGAAGTCTGAGACATGCCAGGAATTTTCCAAAATATACATTGATTCCATGTGCCAACAATCTCAAGCACGTGTTATAGTCAATTGCTGCAACTTTGAACATCTGTAACCTCAATACATTTCACAAATGTTTTGTGAGTAATAAAAAGCATTTCATTCTCTTATGTGATGCCATTTCATTTCTCATCCTTGCCATACACTAGTACATGAAAATGATATTTCCAATCCTGCATTACTATATGATTCCAGAAATTCGTACATGCTTAGCTGAATCACTCTGTAAAATACAGATTATAGTTTGTTATGGTACAAAGGAAATGAAAAAGATTAGAAAATTAAAGTTTTATCAGAGCAACTTCACCATTTCTTTTAAAGTGATATACTCTAATTTTGTGTAAATTTTGATAGCTTTTATAAATTTCAAAAAACTTGTTTAGCTATTGGATTGTTTCATGTGAAATGGCATTTTGTTTTCTTAGATCTAAACAGTGATTTCTATGGCATTAAGATCTGTGAAAAAGTTCTTATACTGCTATTAGTTATTGAAATCAGTGGTGATCGTAATGCCAAATGATCAAAATTCTGAAAGATTGAAATCCTCAAAAATCAAATTTCTAAAAGATTAAAATCTCAAATATAAACCTGGGAGAAATAATAATAAATCTATAAAAATGTAAATAAATGTCTTTTTAAACAAAATTTTTTTATTTGAGAGAAACACAAACATGTGAGAACACTTCATAGCTCCTTTAATACAGTAAAATATTTAATAACAGTAATGGACAATATATATGCACTGTGCTTAAAACACAGTGCATACATATTGTAGTATTATATTAATACATAGTAGCTAAAATCAGATATGTAGAATTAAAAATTATAAAAAAAAATCAATGCTGAAAATTTTAAATAGTGGGGAAGAAAATAAAAATATCAAGACATGAAAAAGCATTTTAATGGAAAGATTATGGGAAATTGGACAGAGATAGTCCATAAGAGAGGGCAAACTTTCACAATCATTAACTATATTTTGAAGTCTTGTTTTGCTTTTTACTTTTTAGGGCATGATTTTCTTTGAAGAATATGCTCATATTCATTTTCTACATGGCATTGCACTTTTTGAAATTCTTCAATGATTCGATATACACAAAAGTGAGCATTCTATACTAAATTTTCCCATCTTACATGTCATGCTTTAATGTTGTTTTGGGTATGTGGAAATCCATTCTGCAAGCATTCATATACAGACCACAAATTTATTATTAGGAATTGAGGTTTTAGGCATTTTAGGATTAATCTTTCAGTATTATGGCATTCAGGATTTTGACCCAAACCCCAGACCCAAAACCAAGATATTCTTTTCTTTTACTATGAGTCATATTAAAGGGAATTTTTTAAAATTATCATTACTGATTTTATCTTCAAACTTCTTTAAACATTGTATCATAAACATATTAATAATACATAAGTATACTGCTTGATGAATGCAGCTGAAAATATTGTATTTGGCATGTGCTAATGTGAACATAATGAATTGTCTAAATTATATGAGTAGGGAAAAGAAGCCTTATGCAAGTTGACAATGAACAGTTCATTTGGAGGTTACAGATATACTGTACACAGATAAACATAAAAGCTGATTAGGTAAAACCCAAAAATACATGACTCTGACTCAGTCTCATCAGTCTCTGCAATTATGAATTTCAGTGATCTTCAAAAATATTTTATTCTTAAAATGTTTTTGGCTTTCTTGGAGCCATCATCAGCTATTGAAAGACAGGAATTGGAGTTACTTTTTAAAATTCTTTCATTTTTTAAAATTTTATAGTTTCATTGCTTTCTGTAGCAGCATAGTTAAGAAGGGCTTTTAATGTTATAATACAATGTTCTGAGTACAAAGAGAATCTCTATCTTGAGAAAATAGGATTGTGCTAAAGTTTTCTGAATTTGACTAATACTTTTCACAAGGTTGATTAAGGTTAGACAATCTGCTGAATTATTTGGCTATGATTAGGTTTAAGTTAATAATTAAATAAGAAGCAATTTGTCTAGTGGTAGGTGGGTAATTAAGCAGTTATCTTGTGATAATTTTAATAATTATAATAAATTAATTTTAACTTAGAATTTCTTGAAAAGAATTGGCCTGAATTAGACTCAAACCCGCAACTTCTATTTACCATGCAGATTGTTGCCAATTACACTATCTGCACATTTGTATTGTTTACAGAGAAATCTGAAAAAGGTTTTTATCAATTTTCTCCCTGATTGTACAATACTTTGTACAATCAAAACTAATTAAAGGTCTAAACTAGTTCTTATGATTAGAGTTGCAATTTTTGAGGCTTTTTTTAACTACTACTATGTCTAAATTTAGATAATTGGTCAAGAACTCTTCCCAGGCATTGTAAGAAGTTTGGAACTTTTTGAAGAAATTAATTTGGTTTTTAAGATGTGATTCTAATTTTTTTATTCATTATTATGTTTTATTTTATTACTTAAATTTTGCATAGTGTTGTTTAAAGGATTTATTTCTTTTTTGAACTCTGTTCACTAAAACAGTTTTATTATTTAATCAAGGTTTCACTGTTTTGAAAATTCAAGATGGAATTATCATCAAATACACTTTTTGTATCTTTTCCGACATGCTGATAAAAATAATTCTCTAATTTATTTATGAAGTGGTCTAAACTTCAGTGAAGTTATCTATATATATAAAATTGCTTGTCCTGACTGACTGACTGAATGACTCACTGATTCATCATCGCCCAGAGCAAACCGCTGGACCTAAAGAGCAGAAATTTGGTACACAGTTAGGGTTCGTCATGAAAACGCACACTAAGAAGGGATTTTTAGAAATTCCCCCGCGGGGGGTGAGGGAGAGCATTAAGGCTTAACCGGAAGAACGGCTTCTACTGTACTATTTTAGATGCGATTTTTTGTTTTTATCTGCGTTTTAGTAGGGTACGCCATGGCAATGTACACTAAGAAGGGATTTTTCTAAATTCCCCCACGGGGGGGAGAGGGAGAGGATTAAGTCTTAAATGGAAGAACGGCTTCTACTGTACTATTTTAGATGTGATTTTTTTTGTTTTCAACTATATTTAGTCTTCATTGAATACTAAAGTGTATTAAATTGATAACATTTCAGACATTGTTATAAATATTTTTATCTATTTCGATTTTAAAAATTCGAACAGTTTTAAATTCGAATTTGTTATTGCATATTTGTTTGATTATAGAACGATTGTAAACGCTCCAGAAAATTGATCAAATTGAAAATAGTTTGTTTGGTGATTCTCGGCAATTCTCTTCAGCGGTAGGTGTTATATAGACCTAACAATTACTATAGTTATCGAAATATTGAATGTAAATGGGTTTGCTTGCAAAACCTCTGCGGACAAAGTCGCGGGTAGCAGCTAGTCTTGTATAATTTTGAAATATGTTTTTGTCTTTCTATTTATTAGGAAATTTATGACACAATTAAACAAATGTTTTGTGCATATTTGTTTAATGATTTTTTTTTCATTTCTTCTATATTGGGTTCTGTTAAAAATGTGATTAAAAGTATGGTAATATTTAACAGAAAATTTGATTTTGTTGTTTGTGATTGATTCTTGAAATATTCTGCACAAAAACAATAACTTTTTTTAATTCAAATGTTTTTATGTATTCTTTGAAGTATTCTTATGATTTAATATTACTCTAATTTTTGATAAACTATAAACAAATCAATTCTTGTTTTATTGGAGCAAAAAAAATTGTGCATGCTTCAATAGGAATTGGTATATTAAAATTCTGCTATCAGTTTTCATTAAACTTAACAAAAGGCACAAAACAAATTAAAAATTCCAACATTCTAAAATTCATGGGCAAATTTGAGACAACATGCATGCTTGCTTGAATAAAAAAAAGTCAAATAAGGGAGTTTTCACCTAAAAATTGTGAAAGTTTGTACGGAGGATTTTCAAAGCTGTGTTAGATTGAAACTGGAATTCGTGTTGTACAGGATATATCCCCAGTTTACAAACCATGTTGTATAAGGGATACCTGTATTTATTTTAATATATAGATTTGATGATTTAATATTTGCTTATTTTTATTTTTACAGGGATACTGCAGGTCAAGAAAGATTTCGAACAATTACTACTGCATATTACAGAGGAGCTATGGTAATTTATTATTGTGAATTATATATTGGTACCATAAGTTATAGTAATTAATATATTTGATCTAAAAATTTGAAAATCTAATTTATAAGAATTGTCAAACAAGAATAGTTGAAAGTAAGCAAGATTGAATCAAATTTTAAGAACTAAGTATGTGTTACTTAATACAATTTGTTGTTTAATCTTACTAGCTATTAGTATCTATTTATTTATTTAGATATATTTAGTGAGATAAAATATTGAACAGTTATTCAGTTTTCTTGAAGTTTTTACATGTACAATTATTATAATATCAATTATTCTGAAATATAAGTATTAAATTATTATTTCACAAACCTATTTGAGTTTTTGTGAAATTGAATATGAATAATTTAAATAATTCTGTTACTTATTAATATTTATAAATAAAATCAATATATGTAAAAGTTACCCATTCCAATATTAATATACAAATATCTAACCACTAAATATTTTGAGTTATATTTTTGGCTAGTGTGAACTGAGATGAATTTGATCTAAAGCAGGCGGGCCGCATGCGGCCCAAGGCAAGTTTCAATGCGGCCCAATAAAGGTGTAAACAAACCGACAAATGTTTTAATTTTATTATTTATTTATTTCAACGGCATAAACTCAGAAAAGAAGTTTCACAAAGCCATAAACCTTTATTCATATTTTAGTTGAGTGGAAATGAAATATTTTCATGTACTTGGAGATGTGTGAATGAGGAAGGATTACTAAATAAAGCTGGAGTTGTGACTCAAAGGATTATAGACCCAAATTTGGTGAAAGGAGAGAAAGGACAAAAGATAAAAAGTTGTCAGAAAGGTTAAATAGTTCTTCTGTTAGACAAATATTGAGTCTTAATTTTCCAACCTTTCTCACTTCTTTATCTTTTGTCCTTTCTCTTCTTTTTCCGAATTTGGCTCTATAATCCTTTGAGTCAAAACTCCAGCTTTATTTAGTATTCCTTCCAGCGTTGCAAGATTTGGCTACATTGCGCCAAATGTGGCTACTTTTTTTAGTTTAACGTAAAAAAATATCATTTGGCGCTTTGGCTACTTTTGGGGCTACATATCATTTATAAATATATTAGTTGAATAAAAATGCACTTTAAAATGGTGTTTCGTCGCTTTTTATTAATCAGAGACTCAAATAAACCAAATATTTGCGTTTTATCAAATAAATAAATTTATCTATTTCTAAGTAAAAATTGAAAGTGTCTGTAGAAGTAATTTTGTTAAATATTCTGTTTCTTGATAAAGTTTTAATACTTATTATTATAATCTAGACATGTTAATCCTTAAATATACTTGTATATTGAGCTACAAGTAGGCCTATATATTATATATACTTGTGGCCCAAAACTCCTTGACTTCTTCCAGTGCGGCCCAGAGAAACAAAAAGGTTGGACACCCCTGATCTAAAGATACAGTTAGGCTGTCATTTGTATTAAATTTATTAATTAAAAGTAGATTTAAAGTTTCTGAAAGAAAAGATCAATCAGGAGTGAAACTTTAAACTATCATCTGCATATTGCACAGATGCATTACCAGTTATACTGTCTGCATCTCTATCCGATCTTCACTTCACTTGCAAAAATTCTGGTGATTAGATATTTAATTTCATTATGAAATTAATTTTCAAACATGAAAATTGTAAAGTAAGTCATATCTTCCAAAAAGATTTTTTTAATTTAAAAGTAAAGTTTTTTAATTAAAGTAAAGCAAGTTAAGGATACAAAGTATTTATTATAACAAACATTTTTGGACTAATGTAGTCCATCATTACCCCCCTCCAATTAGAATTTAAATTAGTTTTATGTTCTATTTTGAAAGTTTTATGTATCATAATTCCAACCAATATTTGTATAATAAATACTTTGGTTTCCGTAATTAATTGCAAGTTATTTTTGGATATTAATTTTTTTCAACTATTTATTGTGAAAAATAACAGTAAAAGCATTTTTGAATGAATCTGTTAGTAACAAATAAGAATAATATAAAGTGGATAGAATTAATAAGTTCATTTACAATTCAGAATTTCAGAATTGATCCATGTATTTATTAAGCAGTGGAATTAAAAATTGATAAAATTAGACATCTTTCTTACTAATATGTGGAAATAATACATGACAATAGTAAAGATGATAGGTCTATAACACTTGAGTTGAATATTGTATTATTCTGTATTTAAATATATTTATACATCAGAATACATACATGATTAATTGTAAACAATTAAAGCAATTGGATGATTTCTTGTAATTTTGATAACTTAGTGACATGTTTAAGAAACATAAGAATCAAGAATTATAGTATATATATTTGAAATTTTTCATGTACAGTATGACCCACTTAATGCGGGGGATGCGTTCCTATATGAAAAAGCGCTAAGCGAAGCAACGTTAAATGAGACCATTTTAACATAGAGTAAATAGGGATAAGGGAACACGCTACAGAAAAAAAAAATTTTACTTTAAGTTATTTTTATATTAATGTGTATAATAATATATGTGAAATAACACACAGAAATGTATAATAATATATTAATTAGTTCATTTTTTGACGAAGGTCCTGACTTTTCTGAAATACTTTATTAAAAAAAAAAAAAAGTAAGTTGTGAAGTTTCATTTGTCACATTTTTCTCTCCTTAAGCAAATGTCGGTAGCAGAAGATCGCATCCAAAATGCCTTGTTTTGCTTTTGCACTCCTTTCAAAATCTAGGTCATTTGCTACAATTTGATCAATGATTTCAGTTATCATTACCAAACTTTTACTAAATCTGTAGCAAGTTCTTTGGGTTCTTCATTTTCAGAATCTCTATTTTCAAGTTCTACATGAATTCCTTGTTCTGCCAGTTCTTGAAATTATCATTGTTAAGGCTCTTACCAGAAACCTGCAGTAACTCCCCAATATCCTGCTTGTCTACATCTCCTGTATTGATTAAGTTGACAATTTTGTCAACCTAACAATACAACAATAGGCTCTTCTCGATGAGAATTCTTGGATACCTTCAGCCATAACTTCTTCCACACTCTGTTCATGCATTTATCAGTTAATTCTTGCCAAACCAAGTCGCTATTTCCTATGGCATCCATGATGTTATATTTTTTCCAAAATTGCACAAAACAAACATGGATTTAAGGGGGAAGTACAGCACTATGATGAATTGCCACCATTTGCTGATTGGTTCATGTTTGGGAATAATCGTATTATACAAATCAATGAAATACCATGTTAATTCGAATCAGCGTAAATTTTGAGTGTTTTTTAGGCATCAAGCAGACCATATTATATTGAATCAGCATTAAGCAGGGTTTTACTGTATATGTGACCTCTTGATTCTTAAGTTTTTTTCTAACTTATTGTATAATATTACAGTTTATTAAAAAAAAATAATGAAAGCAGTAAAATTCAAAAATATTTCAATTTATTTAAATTGATAAATAATTATGATAAAAGAACATGTGCTTTTTTGGACATTTTAAAGTTTAAAGATGATGAATTCTTTAAAATATTTAATTTTTAGTTATATTTTTTTCATTAAATGATAGATNACTTATTTTTTCTTATATCCAACCCACTAAGTCAAACAGTTGAATCCAATCCCCGTGTATAATAATTAGTTTGGATTAGCAAGAGTACACTACATATTAAATACAGGATGTCCCATCAAGACCACATAAACTCTGCAGAGCAAAAATCCTCACTTGGAATATATAGAAAATGACGCAAGAATCATACCTTTACAACCCATAGTTTTTGAGAAAAATGCAAAAGTAAATATATGATGTCACATCCAGTGCACAGAAAATAAGCTTTATTGCAAACACAAACATCAGTACTTGCAAATGACATTATGCTTATATAGGAGGATATTCAAAATGGCCACCATGCATATCAAGGCATGCATGTGCATGCTGTAGAATGACTGACTGCACACAATCCAGTATTGTGTTGTCCAGAAAAGTGAAAACAGCATGGAGATGAGCAATCAAGATCATGTGCAATCAACCATTCTATGAATGTGTGCGTACATGCCTTGATATGTGCAAGAGTAATTTTTGAGTGTCTTGCTATCTAAGCATAATGTCATATGCAAATACCAAAGTTCGTGTTTCCACTAAAGCTTACTTTTTTGTGTACTGGATATGACATCATACTTTCCTTTTGCATTTTTCTCAAACTATGGGTTGTAAGAGGTATGATTCTTGAGTCATTTTTTTTAATATATAGAATATTAAACTGTCCATTAATACATTTTATATTTCAATTTTAAGATGACCAAGGCTGAGAATTTGGGACTAAAATCTAGTTTAGTTGGGGAAAAATTGAGAACAAAATTTGGAAATAGTTGGGGGATACTTGGATATAGCTGTGTTATGTAAAGAAATGATGTACAAACAAGATAAACTGAAAACAAATACTCGTTCTAACCAAAAATATACAGTAAAAATTAAACAACAAGTATTTTTTGATTATTACTAGTTTATAATAGATCATTTTAATTATAAAATCCTTCTGAATTATTCTGCAATACAATTATTAGAATAATGAGATTTTTCTATGGTACTGAAAGTGAAATTTTGCATGTGATCTGAAAGGAAATTTTTGTGAATTGAAAAAGAGCATTCTTTGTCAGCAGAAACCAAAGACAAGTACAGTAGATAATCTGATGTAACATGGTGTCCAACTGTCCATTTTATTTTGTTGGTTCTGAACCAATTCCAAATCATTGGTGCACAAGAATAGTGACACAACTCAAAAATTTCCAATTTCAAGTTTATTGCAGAAACTAGCAGACCCCGCCATGCGTTGTTGTGGCTCAAAATGTATCTATTATAAATTTATAACACTTCCCCCATGGGGGGGAATTTCTCGAAAAATTTCTTCTTAGTGTACATTCTCTTCACGAACCTTATTAAAACGCAATCAAAAACGAAAAAACCCGCATCTAAAATAGTATAATAGAAGCTAAGTTCTTCACGGTAAGCCTTAATCCTGTCTCTCTCCCCTGCGGGGGAATATCGAAAAATTTCTTCTTAGTGTACA